ATATACGCTTTATTGCACAAATTAGGATTACACTGTCATACCATAACCTTCTGTTGGGCTCAAAACAAATGGCTGTATCAAGTTCTACAATCCAAAAAAAAAAAAAAAGCATCCACCTATACACGGTCGATATATTTTTACACAAGGAGGGCAAAGTGGGAGCTCCTGTCTATCCCTAGTGGTCATTAGGTGAGAGGTGGTGTTCACAAGTTCATCACAGGGCAACACAAAAGACCCTGCAAATCTGTATTGGTCAGAAAAATGCCGATTAGTGCATCTCAATTAAAATAACTAGTTTCTAGAAGAAGACTGAATGCACAAGAAAAGACTCCTTCAAACTTAAAACAAAAAAACACACAATGAAGAACACGGATGAAAAACAAAAAGAGAACAAATCAAAATCATAATAAACATCTGGCTGACAGATGGATGGTGCTGTTTTATTTTACACTTTGACAAGTCAATATATTCATTTTTATTTGTTTGCTACAAAAGCACACGCTTGTCTGCAGCACATGCCTGACACCTCTTTCAGGAAACTCCTGATCTGAAAGTGTCAAACTACTCCCTTCACCTCAAGCAAGCCTCTGTCCCTTGTCTTAAAAAAAAAAAAAAAAGAAAAAAAAAAGGAAAATTAAAATACGAAAAACAAAAACAGACGTTCACACTGCTGGATCATAGATTTTATGAAATGCATCTTCAGGCTTACTCACTACAGACAGTAGGGAAATATCTTTTATCCACTATATAACTCCTGCGTCTCAGGAGATAAAAGAAAGTTTTGATAGTGCAAGGTTATAAGGTAAATATATTAATATGCCGTTTTAGATAATGTCCTATAAGTAAAGTGCAAATCTCTGATCAGATGAAAGGTGTGTGCAAGCGTTTCTAAAGTTTGACTGACTCCTCCCAGTCCTTGTCCATGCACAAATCAGCCCTTGACAGACAACCTGAACATCATCTGGTGCAACATTCATGTAACAAAGATGCAGTCTATTATACTGAGTGACTTATGTTATATTTATGTGTATTGTTTGGAATCTGGACTTGACAAGTGTATGTCTTAGTATTTGCATACCACGGAAGGACAGGGCCTTTTTAAGATGGAGCATGTTAAGGAGATCAGTGTTGCAGAAACATGTTCCAATCGTTAAGCTTAAGAGTCAGTAATTTGGTAAACTATACGTTCATTTGAATCCATTTTTTCTGATCAAGTGACAAAAGTTATGGTGAAGCGAGACCAGCTCAAGTGAAAATGTTCATTTACCACAGAGCTCTCACACACACACACTCACGCACACACACACACACACACACACACACACACAATCACAATTCCAATGTGTTCTTTAACCTGCTGCTACACGCGACACAACCTGGGCGAAACAAACACACATAAGCACAATCATGCAGGGGAACCGTTTCTGACTCCTAACTGATGTTTTAAGACCAGCTTAAATTAGCATCAGACCTCGGAAGAATGAAAGGCCAACATTGGGCAAGTAAATTTTTTTTTTTTTTTTTTTTTTTGAAATTTCCAAAGTGCAAGGTAAACGATACATCTCTGAACTCCTCTCACTCCACAAGAGGGCAGCTGTTAGGTTTGGGGTTTGCTGCGGTGGTGGGGGGGGGAAGGGGTTGAGTTTGACCTAAGCATCGGGGGAGAAGTCGGTTGGTCCGTAGGTGGAGAGCAGGGCGGCATCCACAGGCTCCATGCAGGAGGGGCAGGTGAAGGATCTCATCAGCCAGTCGTCTATACAATCCATGTGATAGATGTGCATACATGGCAAAAACCGAATGGGGTCTCCGTAAACAAAGTCCAGCATACAGATCACACACCTGAAAAAAGAATCAAATCAATGAGACCCAAGATTTTAGGAGAACATATTGTGATAATTTAATTAAATGTGTTTTGTTGTGGCTCTAAAAGAGGCAACGAGCACGGCTGCAGAACAGGAATCCTTGTAATAAATCTCATCGTCGGAAAGAAAAAATATTGCAAAAAGGAAATGTAAACTACTAAGTGTTGAGCCAACTTATTAAACTTCAATAAAATACCTCAAAGTATGTGGTTGTAACTTGACAAAATGTGAACAATTCAAGGTAAATTCCCTGTAAGACACTGAATGTGACAGTATAACCTAAAATCAGAATCAAAAAGTCGAGTCTCAGGTAAATCTGGAAATCTGTGTTGACCAGTAAAAACCTAATCAACAAACTTTTAATTCATACAGGGAGTTTCTTCTATTTATCTATTCTTAAATGATTCCTAAATCTGTATATCTCCATTCTTGCTTTAAATAATAAACCAGAGAGGTGGAATTTATTTTTACATAAAATTCCAATAACGACTGGAATTTTATGTAAAAAAAAATTCCAGTTTTTAAACCTGTTAATTTAAAAAGAAACACAAGCGCAACCTAATTTCATTTTGTTTAAACCTTCTGTGCAAACACCCAAAGCTTTTATCATAAAGAAAACACTTCGTGTTTCCAAAATATGTATAAATCAGATCTTTAAGGTATGAAAAGACACACTGAGGTCTCCAATACAACCAAAAGTGTGATGTCTGGCAACTCCTATCCATTTTTCCACATAGCATAAATGCTTACTCTCTGATCTTCTTCTCTGAACCGTCTGGTCCTCCATCATAAACGCCCTTTGGGAGGTGCTGGATGAGGCCGATGCGCTGAGCTATGCGGATCTGCTCCTCCTCCGTCAGCTGGGTGGCCAGACGGGCCTGACTGGGTGTTGGATGGTACATGGGCATGTGAGCCTGCTCCTAGTGGCAGACAAAGAACCAAAAACACATATTCAGCTGTGTCAACACATCAGGTCCGACGGGTCAGACTGAGAGGGCAGACACGGAAAAATACAAGCTCTATTGCAGACAGAAATGTTTACATTCATGTGCCCTGCGGGAATAACAATGAAAACAAATGATATTTAGCCTTTTGTTCAAAATGGAATTTTGAATAAAAGTGAAGTCAAATGAGGCCACAAAACTGAAGCTATAAACACGCCATGTTTGCAGAATTACTGGAAAACCAACAGGTAGCATAACTACTGGTTAAGATGCGCTAGCCAAACCTTTTCTAAATCGTTTTCCTCAGGATATTAAAGGAGCAAGAGAGCGATTGAAGATCCTCACCTGGTACGGAGGAGGCGGCTCCAGATCGGGATCTGTCCCGTCGCCGAAACTCGCCCTGTCTGACTGGGACTCATGGAGCAGAGAGATGTCGTCGGATGTTGGGGACTTCAGACAGTTGCCCATATTTCCGTGCCTCCAGTCCTTTTCAGGGCCGACGTTAAAAATCACAACTATGCTGCTAAACTTGCTCTGGGTCGGCTAATGTTAGTTTAGTCCCAGGAATGATCGACTACTCGGGTTTATATCAACAATAACATTTCTGTCATGCTTAGTCAACTCCTGCAAACATGTTAAGTGGCAACAGTAAAAAATAAACTAGCTTCGTTCCATGATTACTCGGATCTGAGAAACAAAACAAAGAACTCTCCTTGATGAGGATGACAGCGGTTAGCACTCCAGATAGCTACTTTTTCTGCTCGATTTCCTCAATACGTGACGCTCATTCCTTCTAAAGACTCCCACTTTACATACAGTATATTTCTCAGTAGCAACTTTGGATGTCCCACTGAGCTGTCTGAGTGACAGACTCAAAGATAATTTACGCCTTTCAACTTCGTGAGTAACATTAAACAATTTGTTTGCTTGCTAGCTGTTTCTTCTCTACCCTTTCTTCTTCTTTTTGGTAAGTCAGCTCAGATGCGAAACACCGCCATCTGCCGTCCTGGAGTGGAACACAAGACAGGCCCTTACAAACGCTTACAAATGATTGTATTTTCAAAATAATTACGAAAGAAGATTAGAGGCATTGGAGAAAATAAATAAACTATTTTATTATATTATAAATAAAATGTATAATATCAGAATTCTTACCCGTTTCACCTTAGAAGTATTTTCTTTTCCTCAGATTTTTTTTTTTGTTCAGTCCCAGAATTTGGGGACCATAAAAATCACTTAAATCTGACAAAAAGTTAGTTTTCCTCCTCACATCTCTATCATTGTAGCTGGTTGCAAAAAAAAAAAAAAAAAAAAACTCACCTATTTTAATTCCACACAAGTAATCTACATGTTTAAAATGTAAGTAAACCTTACTGTGAATTTTTTTTAAAACTTTTTCTCTTCTACTTTTAAATAATTCTTCTTTTGAGTTTGCTAACATCAACTTCAATAAGTTGAAATAGAACTCATAAATAAAGTCCATTTTTGACTTATTGCGTAATTTTTCTTAAGACAACACATCAAAGTGGAAAAAAGGTCTAATTTCTGCTGATGTTTTAAACTGATGATTATAAAATATTATTTACTGAGGGAAGGATTGTTATGAAAAGCTTTAAAAAAATATTCAGTGAACAAAGGGTCTGTAGCAGTTCTCAAACTTTTCAGCTTTTGACAGTCAAAATAACGACATAAGAGGGTTTTGACAACAACTCTTGGCTGGATCTAAAAGGTTCTCTTTGTACTATTTCTATGCTGAATTTATTGACTTGAATTTTACTCTGAACTGTTGTCTTCTATTGTCTTCTTGTGTTTTATGCAGTCAAAAATACTCCACTAAAATATATTTTATTATTGACTTAACTGGTATGGTAGTTTTTACTAAGTTTTACTACATATATTATTTTCAACAAAAAAAAAAATGCACACAAACAGTTGAGGCATATCTACAAAACTACTTGCAAAACCAGCTGCCACCAACCAACGTAGCTTCTTCCCCCATGATGTTTCTCTGTTGAACTCCTTAAAGCTGTGGTCTCAAACTCCAGCTCTCCAGGGCCGGTGTTCTACAACTTTCAGTTGTCTCTCTGCTTCAGCACACCTGGCTCCAACAGAGCTCATCAGCAGAGCTCTCCAGAGCTCTACTGCATGCAGTTTACCCACTGAATTCCAGTGTGTAGGACAAGGGACACATCTAAAAATTGCAGGACACCAGGCCTTGAGGATCTGAGTTTGAGACGACTGCCACTGATACTTTTCCATTGTATGAAAAGTATTAAATTGCCTCTTTATGAGTCTGCTCCTCCAGTGACAAACAAAATAGGCATAAAATAACTATAACAACTTTTCTCTGTGAAAAAAAAACAACTGAATTGACTGTACATTCACATATGTGTATGTATTGTTTTTGTCTTTTCCTTTATTTCTTCAAAAGTTTAAATATTTATACTTATTGTTTATACATTAGCATTTTAAACCGATAGCATGGGCTTCTTCTTCTTCTTCTTTTTCTTCTTCTTCTTTACTATCAATGGAATACTCATCTTAGTATCAATATGTGCCATAGTCTGCATTTGCATATCACTAATTAAGTTTCTTTCTGTAGTTCCCTCTATGTAGCTCTCTCTATGTATTACTATCACCTGACAGTCTTCCTTCGTAGACATTATATTACATATTTATATCAAAATATAATGTTTTGATATTAATATGGATAAAAGCATACAGATAAACATAATATGCAGAAAGTCTCCAACTCTGAGATTACTTGACTAAATAAAAGGGTAAAAATGACAAGACTTCAAATAACAATGGCCACTTGAGGACACCTTTACTTGTATATACAGCTATTGTACACATACGGACCCCACAGAGTATTTGCATTCCTGCAACTCAAAGTAAAATCTTTTGGTTAAGAGAGCTTCAATAATTTCACCCATTTGTCAGGCAAATAAAACAATACACAACCTTAATATGAATATTTCCAAAGATTCCATCTTTAAAGCTTGCCAGCAAAGATGATTATTTTTCCCTTTTTTAAATGTTATAAACAGCATCTTTTCTCTGTACATTATTTGCAAATGCATTAGAGTAATGTGCATTTTTCGAAGCAAAATATGTCATAATGTACCTGCAAAGTTTCTATAGTTCATGATTCGCGCTCTTCATGTAGTGTTCACAATCATAGATGGAGATCAGTTTTGTGATCATTATGTGGTAAAACTGCACTCTGAATTATTCTGAGATGCTTTAATGCTCAGAAATTGAAGAAAAGCATTTCCTCATTTTTCACCGTGACAAATTTCTGTTCTGCATGATATGCAGCGTTAGTTTCCTGCCAGTCTTTTTGCCAAAAAAAGTTCAGAGTTTAAAGGGATTGACAAATAAAAATGATGTAAAACTGACCAAAGTTAGAGATCCGAGGTGTGATGATTGCATGATTTAATAATTATATTAAGTGAAATCACAAACGAATCATTCTATGATATTCTATTACTTTAACCATATCCCAGATTTGTGAACTTACAATGCTTAATACCAGAAAAGAAAAATGAAGAGGGGAAATTAGACAGTTGACCTCTGCACATTCATTCAATTCAGTAAAAAAATCCAGCATTAATAGTATATCTCTTATTATTAATATATCACTGCCTGGAAAAGTATCAGATTGCCTCTTTATGATGGCTTGTTGCATTGACCTGTTCTAATAGATGGCAATGGTGAGATGATCAGGATTTATTTACAGAAAAATTATAACAAAACATAGTTACATATTCACACACCCCACAGATAAATACCTTTTAGAGCAACACAGAATCTTTTAAAAACATCTTCAGAAATGAAAATACCTATTGACACAAATGGCATGACCTGGTCCATTGTTTTCAGTAATTTTCTTTACTCAGTGACAACTTGAGATGCATTATTACTCTGTATCATCAAGTACAAATCAGGAAATAGACCTTATTGATTGTCAGTGTTCTTTGTAAGTTGGCATCTACAGTTTCAGGAAGTTTTAAGGTCTTTGTCGTTTTGGGTATTTGCCCGACATCCAGAGGGCTCACAACCTTGACAAGGCAAAAAAACAAAACAAAACAAAAAAGACTCATTGACTTTCATTTCTGGGTGCCGATGTCCTCGTCCATGCTGTGTGTCCCGTCCCTAGCACCTGTCGTCCTCCTCTGTGTCGCTGAGGGGGTCGCAGCCTGCAGCGGAGGCCGTCTGCATCAGACGCTTCCTGAAGTGTCCGTTGGGGACCTGCCAGCCGGTCCGCCAGCGTGGGTGGGCTGAGCCAATGGTGTTTGAGCGTCCCAGGCTGCAGGCCACGGCCGCCTCGAAGGTCAATGTCTCCATTGGACCAGAGGGATCCGGGCTGTGGTCGTCTTCTTGTGATGCCAGGAAAGGCTCTGAGGGGTAGCGTCGAGGCGGGGACGCGTTTATGTCAAGCTGACTCCGCCTCCCTCCCGCAGCTCCTTCTTGGGTCTCCCATGAGGCCTGGCTCCGTCTTGTCGTCTCTGGGCTGCCTTGTTCATCGTCATCCTCTCCGACAGAGGCTTGTGTGCGACACACAAGAGGGGAATAGGAGATGTGAGGGCGAGATCGGGTTGGGGTTTGTGAGAGAGGTCGTCGGCCGCTGGGTGTGCTGGACTCTGAGGTGGACGGTACTGGGCTGTCTGAGCTGTTACCCTGAAATAAGAAAAATTACATTCAGTTAATGCAGTAGCTACTCTTGACTTTTCATTCAGATCAATTTACAGGACCTTTAAAAATGTTATATACAGACACAAAGTAGTGAATAATTGTAAAGTTATTTACAGTTTTGAATGTTAAGACAATAAAAGGCACTAGAAGGCCTATTGTTGGACGGCACTGTTTTATTATGAATAAAGAAGTACAGAAAAATATGATGTTGCGTGGAATGAGCTAATTTCCAAGCCCTAACCAATCAAAGCCTAAAAATTCCGATCTCTTCTTGAGATATTACTTAAGTGCAACAAGGTTGCATTAAGAACAACACTCTTTGGTGCTGAAGTAATTATTGCAGTACAATCATTTAAAGTTAACATTTTTCATTATTATTTTAGGTGTTTGAAAATCAAGTCAAAAGAAGCACAGAAATGTAGACTGCTATTTAAAAGGAAACTGCAAATGAAGACCTGGTTGTGTTTTATTCAGGCTGCAAAAGAGCAAGAGAGAGCAAGACTTTCAGGAAACAACAGTTTTACTAAAACTGCCAAAGCAGACATTTCAACCACCTTTCCATGTACTAAAGCGGTTGAAATGTTTAGTCTATAACCAGTTATGTTTATAAAATAATACAACTACTCTTTCTCACACAGCATAATATCACCTTTTCTTCAATACTTATAATTAGAGACCACTCATGGCAGAAATAATAAGAATGCAGTGCAATACGAATAAACGATTACATTTAAAAAGACTACAAGATTACATTTTCTTAATTAAGACAGGCATACGCTTTCTTATAAGACCAGTGTTTCTTGTTTTTTCATTGAGATACAGCGATTCTCTTTTCCAAATCTTTGTCCTAGCAGTTTGAAAGTGATTCTACTCTTAGAAATGCTACTGCTACTACGTTGACTAATCCTAGCTACGTCCCCCACTGGTCCCTGAAACTGGTCAACAAACATGATTTGGTTGGGTAAAGAGCCATTATTGAGACTGTCAATATACAAGGTAACATGCTAAAGTAGCAGAAAAGTTTGATAATATAAAAAAAAAACAAACACCTTATTTGGTTGTTTGGCATCTAGGTGTGTATATTTTACTCACCTGTTTATCCTGGGGAAGGGCTTGTTCTACGCTGGAGGAACGTGAGGGTTGCAAACTTCTTTCCTCTGAGTTACAGCGAGACGTGTCTGGAGACAACAGGTGACAATGCTCCTTGGAACGACCTCGCTCCCTGTGCTCAGACCGTGACACTGGTAAGAAACAGAAGAACATAAATGTGCACATTTAATAAAATAATAACACTGAATGCCTTTTCTTTTATTAGT